CTTATCCAAATTTCTACCCTTTTAAGTCCCTCAAGTTTTGAAATATTCACATTAGGCCCCAAAACAATCTTTTCTCACAATCAAGTCCCTAACTTGAATGATAAAATTCCCGAAAATTTGGGATATTACATTCACCCCTCCTAAAAAGGAGTTTTGTCCCCAAAACTCGAATCTAGGGTCGTCTCAAGTGGTGAATGGCTTCACACAATCCAAGACAAAACAATTGCCTCACCAACTCTTTACGAACAGAACATAGCCTACCACACTTCCGTTTGCGTCACTTTGATATCAAACCACAACTATTCTTAAAAATAGAACACTAACTACTTATCAAGATTTACCATGAAAACAAGCTACTGGAGGCTAGGGTGATATGGGAAACACAAGGAATAGAAATAAATCCTGCCAAAGCCACAAAAGAACAGTTGTGGGGTTACGCTTTGAACCCAACACAAGACGAGTTGGCAAAGAATGGCATGGATTTAAAGACAAGTACAACAAAACTTTGAACTCTATCAAAGACAGATAAGCATCCAATAGATATATTGATCATGAATGAATGAACAAGCGCATGGATGCCTTATACATTATGTTACAAAACAAGGTTAACCAATAAGATCATGTTTAACAAAACAACTAGAATCAAGAGACAAATTTTAGCAATTAACAAGAGTTAAAAGCTAGACCCATCAAATGACGTGAAATTTCCAAAATAGCACCAAAATGAAAACAGTGGAAAATATGAATGCTTGGAAGAATACTAAAACATGAGAGTGTAAGGTAGAATGCCTCAAAAATTCAACAACAAAATGGCATTCACCATGAATCAAGATCAAATTTAACCAAGCAATCAAAATTGAGAGACAAGAGTTAACCATGAAACAAGCAATAAAATCCAAGGATTAGGCCCACAAAAGAGTTTTCAATAATGACAACCAGAACACGGATTCAAGAGCAGATATAATCAGGATGTCAAGATCTAGCACCTCAAGTACTAGAATTAATTAACAGAACAAAGCAATGGCTAGGATCAAGATGCTTAGAAGATTACTGTCTTCTAATTAAAAAGGCAAACAAAAATCAAAGCAGTCAGATAAAAGAACCATTTCACCTGGAATAAAACTCTAGGGCATCAGGTACTTCAAAAACTACCCCTTCACCTCATAGCTCATGAAGGTTAAGCAGATTTACAACCAAGTCATCCTAGACATCCTAGAGTCAAATCAAAGCTAAGACTTCAAGAATACAAAGATTAACACTTGCAAGAGACAAGAATTAGGATGCCTCATATAGGTATTTCTAATAATCATCACCCCTCCTAAAAAGGTGTCCATATGAACAAAAGTCAAAAATCAAGAAGATCAATAGGTATACTGTAATACCCCAAAAAATTTCTAGGATAAATAAGTGAGTTAGGTACTGAATTGTGGAAAAATATTATGTTGGGGCCTAATGTGAATATTCTGAAAGCTGAGGGACTTAAAAGAAGAAAATTTGGATAAGGATGGCTTATTTCTTTTTCTCCTTTTCCTCTTTCTGCTCAACCCGATTCTGCTCTTCTTCTTCGTCTTCCCGCTGCAACCACCCGAAAGAAAAAAAAAGGGAACCCGACACCCTTCCTTGGAGAAACCGGTGAGATAAGCTTGATTTCTCCTTCTTTTCTTGCTCTAAAACACAGATTGGAACCCAGAAATTCCCCCCCTGCAGGAAGCTTCTGGATCTGCTCTACTCTTCCCTCTGCTGTCCTCCGACTGCTCTTGTTTGTGGGGGCAAATTGCTTCGGTTTTTGGTAAGAAATAGCCATGAATCTCCCTTCTCTAGCTTTGAATTGCCTTGGGTTTACTTTAATTGCTCTTGTTCCTCCAATTTTAGGTGAACCCGTGAGCTTTCCTTGTAGCTTGCCGTCGGCCTCTTCACCCCTACAGCTCCGGTTTCTACAGCTGGAGAATTATGGTATGTGGCAGCTTCTTTAAGTGCAAGTTTTAGCCATTTAATTGCTGCCCTTTGTGTCCGAAATTCTGGATTAATTAGGGGAGAAAATTGATAGCAATTAGACCATGATTTAGCTTAATTCAAGTGGGATTTATGTGATTGAGTGTTAATTGACTACTGTGAGATTTTTGGAGAAAATCCCAAGAGATTAGCTAGTGTTTTGGCCAATTTTTGGAAGTGCAATTACTGTTCACGTCTTGGTACTGTTCATGGGTACTGTTCATGGGTACTGTTCATATATCACTGTTCACACACCAAGGGTCAACAATTAACGGGGTTTTAAATGATTAATTTGTGATATAAGAACGAATTTGGAGATATCTGATAACGTGGAGATTGATAGAAATAGCATCGTGATTAGGGGTAGTCCTAATGATGATTTCAGTTTGAAATTGTGGTAGTTCGGTAATTAATTCTTGGATATTTTGATTAGGTTCTTGATCCTCGAGGTACTTTAGTACGTGAATTGAGTGCTCGGTTTTATGCAAGTGAGGTAAGTAAATTTATGGTAATGCCCTTACTGTTTTTAAAAGCATGTTTTGATTTGTTTTTGAAGTGGTGGCGGGACTGAACCCGTTTTACACAAGTATGACTGATTTGAAGTGGAATTTTTATGCTTTTCATTAAATTGAGAATGCCTACTTGGAATTTAATTGATTGTCCTGATGATCTGAAAGTGATTGGTGAATTATGTTTTCTGTTAACTTCAGCCTGTTTTGTCTCCGATGTGGTCATGTTTCTGTAACCCT